TATGCTAAAAACTTTTTATCTGAATTTTTCAGAAATATTTAAGAATAATATATTATATTTTTGTATGACTTAATAGTTAACAAAGAAGGTTTGTATGGCTGAAATAAAATAGCTTTNGAATTATTAGTTTTAATTTTATCAACATAAGAACGATATTTTAAATAAAGGTTTAAACGTAAAAAGTTTATATTATTTTCCAAAGTTATGTTTATACTTCTTAATTTGCTACTTACCTGTTTTTTGGAAGGTTTTGATGAACTTTCATCGCTAGAATAACTATCAGAAGTATTTTCTGTTCTTGCAAGTACTTGTTGATTATTTTTATCACTTTATTAATTTTACTTGTAGTTGTAGTATTTAATGTTGTTTGGGAATTTTCAACTGGTTTACGTTTTTTCTAAAGTTTATATAAACATAAAGTGCATTAGTTCATTGATAATAATAAATAAGNATTAATCCTTCGCCGGCAACTCAAGTCTTTAAAATCAACTCAGACAAAATTTTTTATTGTTTAAGTTTTTTCACACGAGAAGGAGAGAAGATAAACTATTTGATTTCCTCACTTAAAAAAGACTTGTACGTACAAACACCTAACCTAACCTAACCTCTCGAATCCCGTTCGCTTAGTTCAGTTCTGATTGTTCTGAATAGCACGAGAGTAAAATTATCTTGCTGGTAGATTAATAGATATTGCTAATGAAAGAAAGAGAAAGAACAAATTGACTACNTAACAATCATAAATAATCTTTGAATTATATTTACTTTTCTGTTCGAATTTTTTTTGATCTCGGGAAAAGTTTCAAAAGAAGAAAATTTTTTAGGTCTTCTTTGTCTTTTTTCAGAAAGTATATTTTCGTCGCTTTTGTTTTGACTTTCATTAACATCACTTTTTTTAAGTTTTTTTCTTTTATTTTCTAGCATCAAAATATCATCTGTAATTTAATTTTATGAACAATTTTTCCCAATAAGTATTAAATAAAAAAGAATTTTTAGTTACAGTAATTCTTACCAGAAATCATAATAATAATTCCTTCATAATGCATATTTCCGTACTGAAACTTAACTTCATCGCCTTCTTTAACAGTATGAAGATCACANAAGATATTTTCATTTTTTACAATACACAATGAATTATCTGTTATACATTTAATGAGATACATTTTTAACTTTGGAATAAGATCAGATTTAGAAAAATAGAAAATTTCTATTATAAAACTGTTTTATAATAGAGCAAGTCGACATAGAATAAAGCTTTCACACACAAAACAAATGTAACCGTCGCACTGGTTTGACTCTGATGGAAAATGGAATATGTTCTACGTATGTCTCGAATGATCTATGGAGAGTTGGGTGCGTTCAGACAACTCAACAGTTGCACAACGGTTGAGAGATAATCACTTCTGATTGGATCATACTTTTGGAACCGCAGCAGATTTTGAAGAATAGTCCTATCATAAGTGATGATCTCTCAACCATTGAGTTGTCTGAACGCACCCGTTGCAAGATCGAGCAGANAGCAACAAGAGATCGAAGCGGTGGGGGTACACACACAAGCGAGAAGCGCCGTCCGTGTGTGTGTCCCCACTACTTCGATCTCTCGTTGCTCTCTGCTCGATCTTGGAACTCTGGTTTCTATCAGGAAACCACAAGGCAAGACACGTTGTAACCGGCTTGACGGAAACGAGATAGACTAGTATGTCTGTATTCTTTTACGAGCCGAACGGCTGAGCGTACACGAACGGCGGTTCTTACTTGTGTGCTATTCCCACCGCTCAGTGCTCTAGGTGCTGGCATTGCTGGTCTTGCATAATCTTGTAACTCNGATTTACGTCTCTTTGCACTACTATATACGTGCTACGGTTATACACATTCACCAATTTAAAGAGTATTATATAGTTAATTTAAGTGGTATTATGTAGTAAAGTATAATACAAATATTGCATTTTGACTGTGTGTGTGCATGTATTCATGCTGCGCAATTTTAGGTTACGTTCAAAAATTTAATATTATGTCCGCTAAAGATGAAACTTGTGAACCACCTGTTAAACGAGCAAAATACAAACTTTGGAAAGACAATCCTAATATTTCGGTAATATATATACATATAATATTCTAACATTAGAAAATTATAGATAATATCAAGAAATATATCCAAAAAAACTATTTATAAAACGTTTATTCAAAAATAACAAATTTGTTTCTATTTTTNAATAGTAAAAATATCCATTTAAATTAAAGTAAAACATTTCATATGTAATCTTGCTTCATTCACTTTTATGTTTTAGATTCCTACAACTACTTTACATCGATGGAAAAAAAATAAAGAGAAGTTTGAAATGATTAATATAATATCAGACATCCTTAGAGAAGAAACATCCTCAACTACTTTTGTTAATATTGAAGATAGTACCGACAACAGTTCTGAATATAGCGATAACAATATTGAAGATAAAATTGAAGATGACTGTGATATTTTACATGAGTTTATAAATATTACAGAAGATGACTATGAGATAAGTAATTTAAACGAAAATCTTCAACAAAATTGTATTTGTGATAATNATAGTGACGATAGTGAGAATAGTATTGATAATCCTTTCAGTAAAATAATTTCTGATAAGATATATGATAATAGTGATATAACTATTGTTCTAAGTATTTTAGTCGTCATGAGATATTATATTCAATATTATATTATATTCAACATAGACTGACAAGAGCAGCTTTAAAACATTCGTTAAATATGTTACACATACTTCTTCCGAACCCTAATAAGGTACCAAAGACTGATTTCAGTTTATTTCAAATTATTGACAAGGCTNTACCATCATGTAATTTCATTAAACATTATTATTGTAAAAATTGTTTATTATATAATAACACTAATCCTTTAATGGGAGTATGTTCATCATGTTTAAGTACAGAAGGAACTTCTTTTTTTTTAATTAGACATTATTGATCAAATCAGATACTTATTNGAAAAAAGGAATCTCGCTGATAAATTGCGTATTGATTCTAATGAAAATTATAACACCATATCTGATATTACTGATGGATTAAAATATGCAAGAGTAAATTTAAGAAGTGGACGAAGTCAGTATGATTTAACTTTGATACTCAATACAGATGGAATTTCTTTATCTAAAAGCTCAAAAAGTCATTGCTGGCCATTAATGTTTATGATAACAGAGCTTCCAGAACATTTAAGAGAANCATTTATTATTATTATAGGCATTTGGTATGATGCTAATCAAAAGCCTAAAATGAATACTTATCTTCAACCTTTTTGTAAAAAGCTCATCACTTGTTTCCGGAAAGCCATTACTTGGACTCATCCTGTGACAGGCGAAAGTTGCGTTTCAAAACTTGTTGCACCTCTGTTTGTAGCAGATGCACCAGCCAGAGCTCAAATTTTAAATACCGTAAATTTTAATGGTAAATATGGTTGTAACATTTGTGAAATCAAAACTCAGCGTTCGGCAGAAATTACAAAGAAAAAAAGAATTCGAGTTTACACTTTTCAAAATGAAGCAAGCCAGCTAAGAAATGAAAATAACATTAAAAAATATGCACAAAAAGTTTTTGATAAAAAAGTTTCCTCTATAAAAGGTATCAAAGGGAAATCTGTAATTGCATCTTTACCTCTTTTAGATTTAAGAACCTGTGTAATTCCTGAGAATATGCATTCTGTTTTACTTGGAGTTGTAAAACAATTNATTTCTCTTTGGATGAGTACAAAAACTCATTGGAGTATTGTAAAATATATCAAAGAAATTGATAGTTTTTTTTGACAAATATTCAACCACCTTNTTTTTTCAACAGAATGCCTCGCAATTTATCAGATTACAAATTTTATAAAGCATCTGAATTGTATAATTTTTTGTTATTTTACTCAGTACCAACACTCGTCAATCGTTTACCAGAAAAGTACTTCCAACATTGGTTGTTGTTAGTCATATCGATATTTAATCTATTAAAAAAACAGATTTGTATTCAATCAGAATTAGAAGCAACAGAAATTTTATTGAGATTGTTTGTAAGAGATGTTGGAAGTTTATATGGAGATAGAGCTTACACTTATAATGTTCATCAATTATTACACTTACAAGGAGAGGTCGCGGTTGACTACCCACCGATTTTAATTTCCTTTTAACTGGTGAATCTACATCGAAAATAAGTTGATCCGTGTTCGAGCGTTTTGTCCAATGCGCGTTTTAAATAATATTTTTTATGCTTCAAATTTTGGACGATCGCTAGTGTAGGTTATAAGGTACAAAGAAAGAGGCGTTATCGACAAGTGTCGCTTAGCGCTGTGAGTAAACGCGAGACTAGTAATGACGGGAAACTAGGGATCGAGACCAGTCACCCTGTAAATTTTTATTTATTGTTTTTTTTTGGTAACTATTTTATACGTAAATGTAATATTATTATCTTTCTATGTAAAAATAACAATTTAGCAT